TACTACTACTACTCTCTCTCTCTCTCTCTCTACTCTCTCTCTCTCTCTCTCTCTCTCTCTCTCTCTCTCTCTCTCTCTCTCTCTCTCTCTCTCTCTCTCTCTCTCTCTCTCTCTCTCTCTCTCTCTCTCTCTCTCTCTCTCTCTCAGGGAATGTGGAAAATTCTCGTGAAAGAAATTTCAGGATATCCTTTGGGATCCCGCAGAGTTATGACAATGATTCGATCTGCGGCGATCCATTTATGAATTTTATGTCGTGGGACATGTCGAAAACACATTGGATAGATAAGCCGCAATAATAGAGAAGACTCCAATTACATCTCTCAACGTAATCGTCTTGGGAGGTCAGAATTTTCCGGAGATGGTCATAATTTTTCGGAAGCTAAAGCTGATATAATTTCCAATAGCTTTCTCTGCATAATTTAAAGGAGATAGCAAAAAATGGTTCTGAACAGTTTCTTTTGTGCGAAAAGGACTAAAACTTGAATTTTAATACTTTTCGTATACATCTCCGTAAATTTTCTCGAATGAGATATGAGCGATAAAGATAATCTTTAGTTTAAAATAGACAATACGTTAGTTGATAATCTCTGCTCGACATCGTGCGTCCAAAAGTAGCCTTAACAATGGCAGAACAAAAGGAGAAGTTCGAACAGAAGCGGGGAAGGAACGAATGGCGCAAGACATTAATGCCTAAGAACGACAGAGTCTGAAAAAGAATGGCTATAAAGGCTCTTTTCTTTCGTCGGCCTATGTCGCGCTTTTTTAATTTCTATTCTCCATTTTTACCATTCAATGGGCATTCTGCTTCGCGCATTTGTTCCACATTGCAATTCCGCTGTATAGATTCTTCCTCTGGTTTTATCTTCAGCTTCATTTAGAAGAGCAGATTATTCAGAGAAATTGGTATTAATATGAACAATAATAATGTGCCAATTTTTTATTTACCTCTTTTTCTCAAAATACAACATTCAAATGGAATCGATTAGATGGGGAGGGGGAGGGGAGGACGAGATATAATTAATGAGAACAACGTACATAGCCTCGAGCGACGCAAAAGAGATATCTCGCACCGCCTCTCTGTAGAAATCAAAGCCGCTCTGGAGAATCGCGAAGCGCGATCGACCGTTCGATGCACGAGGTGTCGGAGGGCGTTATCGGGCGTTATTCCGACGTCGCGACGAAAGCTGCAACGGGCAACGAATAAATGAGGCAACGAATACATTGCGAGTAACGTTCCAATAACGTGGCGCGATACGAGAGTATATACGACGCGCTAAATGCGAGCCTCGCAAAATTACCCGTGTCGCTTTCCCTTCGATTCCATCCGCCGCGCAAATGTACAGAACGACGGCCTCTGTTCGATATATCGACGTGCACGACACGTGACGAGTTCGCGCGGAGCGGATAATCCCGCGCAGTCATCTAATTCGTATGCAAGGGCAAACGCGTATTAGCACGCGCCAGAGCGGAAAATCCAACAGAACCGATAGTTCAATGTAAATTCGCGCGAACGGTCGATGGAGGGAAAAAAAGAGCTGACTAAAGAGGGAAGGAGACGTGACTCTCGTTTGAATTGATGATCTCGCGTGGTGTATCTTTCCAAACGGCGAACTACTATTCCGCAAAATTGAGCTTCCACTGTGATTATGATAACGACATTATTCGCAGTAATTAGCGAGACTGGGCGCGCACGTCGCAAATAATTAGGATAGTTAGACCTGCTTGCAATTACAGCTATTCGATCCCTATTAAA